TAATACATATTTATGTCTCCTTTTTTGCATACACAATGTATATTTATCTTATACATCAAAAATATTTTTGGTACATGTTTAATATTTTATATATACATGATCAACATTTTTTCAATACACATTGTATTTTATTTTTATACATTTTCATATACATGATAAATATTTTTTTCTATACACATTTAACTTCTAAAAAATTGAATTAAAATTTTCATACATAAAAATACGTGTTTAACAATTTGAAATACATGATCAACTCTTTTCATACACATTTTATATTTTTCGTATAAAAGAGAAACATTTTTTTCTATACACATTTAACAATTTTGAAATACTTCATTAATTTTTCTAAATGTTTTATGTAAAGTGTTTTTGTAATAGATATATTTCGAATAGTTGGAAGTATAAACAGAAGTTAAAATAATAAACCAAAAAATATGTGAAAAAAACTTGGGGTTATGGCCTGTGGACTCACCCACGCCGGGCTGGCCCAATCTCGAGCTCTCCCTGGCGAGGCTAAACTATGTCTCGCTATTAGCGAGACACAGGCACGCACTGAAATACACACGGCACATCTATGTCTCGCTTGACGCAAAACAAACTGCAGCATCGTCTCAAGCGATTCCGTACATGGGCCATCCCAGTGCAGGAGCACTCCCTCACTCTGTCGCCTTCATCCATCCGTGCGCGAGAGGTGGGTTGGCCATGCGGATATTGCCATGATGTCATGCCATTTTTTTTTCTTTTTAATGAATATATTTTTAAAACTTCAGTTGAAATAATAGTCTATAAAACCGTGAATTTGAAAAAGGTTAACACGGTACAAAAACTTTAGCACAACTGAAAAATGATGGTACCTTAAAAAATGTTACAGATATGAAAAATATTCCCGGGTTTCATAAAAAATGAATATAATTATTTTGAAAAACAAACTGTACATTGTAAGAAAATGTTTTTGTAGTATAAAAATGTTAGTACCAATAAAAAGTTCGCTTGACATCTTATTCTAAAATTTCTGAAAAATGTCTGTAGCATTAAAAAATTGTTTATACAATGTAAATGATTTTCATGTACTTTAAAAAATATTTAACACCACCAGAAATATTAAGCATGTATTTAAAAAAATGTTGACTATGTAATCAAAAAAATGTTTAAAACATGTATGAAAAAATGTACTCCCTCCATTCCTAAATGTAAGTCTTTGTAGAGATTCTACTATGAACTACATACGGATGTATATAGATGCATTTTAAGTGTATTCATTCATTTTGCTCTGTATATAGTTCATCCAGTGGAATCTCTACAAAGACTTACATTTAGGAACGGAGGGAGTATATCATGTATTTGAAAAATGTTTAATGTGTATCAATAAAATATTCCACGTGCACACTGAAAAGGTACATTGTGTACTGAAAAGTAGACCTGCACTAAAACATATAAAGTAAACAAAGAAACAAAAAAGAAAAATGAACAAAACTGAAAAATGCAAGAAAAAAACTAGTGAAAACCAAGGAAGAAACAAAAGAACTGCGAAAAAAACAAAGGAAAAAAACTAGTGAAAACTAAGAAAGAAACGAAGACATCTCGTGAAAATAAATTAAAACAGAAAAGTGGAGAAAATAGTGAGGAAACAAAGAAATTTGGAAAAAATAGAAAAAATAGAAAAAACTTGGCAAAGGAAACCTAGTGAACCCTATGGCCTATTTGGTTAGCTGCATTTCACTCAGCCAAGCCTGTGGGGTGCAGTTTCAGGCCGTTTGGTTGCTTGGGCTGCACCCAAATCCTGGCTCGCACGAACCTCAACGCAGTTTGGGCCAAGGCTGAGTGGGAACTGCCTAATCGCTCGTTTTCCCAGAGTCGGGTCCGGGTGAGAACCGCGTGCATAGTTGCATGTTGACCCTTGACAAGCAACTTGCCGCTCACCCCAACATAGTTGCATGTCCAACCTCGACACGAATGTTCCCCGCCTCGACCCAGTTGCATGCCCACCATTGACAGGAATTGAGATTAGTTTGTTTTTCATTTTTGGGGAGGGGGGCTACAAAAAACACAGTTTTGAACGACAATGCTAACGCGTTTTTTGCGAACTACCAGCACCATTTCATCTTTTTGGTACTTTTGTTGGAAAAAAACACTATCAGCAGTAATTTTTTTTAACAGATAGCACCTTTTCTCTCTTGTTGTTTATTTCGATTTCCTTTTTCCACTTTTTTAAAAATTCTTCAACAGTTAAAGGATACGACGCGGTCCCAACTAGGGGGTGGGTGTGTGCAAACGAGTTTGAGTTAGACAGTGATAGCCCATAGGGGAGGGTGGAGGTGGTGCCTTTTGTTTGCCATTTCCTTGTCCTTTTTTTTGCCGCAGGAGATTAACATACTAAGATGACGCCACAGGAAAAAGGTCTTTTTTTAGGGCATTTCTGTAAAAAACACCATGTCTAAGTTGCATGCCCACCCTTCCACATGCAACTGCAAGGGTCGCACCCCGCCTAAAATTACAACACGACACACATAATATATAGTTGCAAGGGATACAATGCGACTGCATCTGCTAATGCGGTCAATTCAACTGTTTTTTGATACATGATAAACTTTATTAAACAACATTGACCATATTTTAAATGCTTGCCAAATGTAATTTTTAATACATGCTGGCAGTTATTAATACGTGTAAAACATTTTTAAGTAAGTGATGACTTTTCAACAATGATAAACAATTTAAATGCTTGTTCAACATTTTCAAAGTAAGCGATAAACATGTTTTAAATAACATTAAAACTTGTAAATGTGTGAGGACATTTTTAAATATTCGGTGAAGAATTGAAAATACAAGTTGACATTTTGAAATACACGATGCACATTTTCTAGATATCTTGAGCAATTTTTAATATCATGATGAATACTTTTTAAATACATGGTGCACATTTAATTAGCAATAATCTTGAGCAATTTTTTAGTGTCATGATGAATATTTTTTAAATACATAATGCAGATTAAGTTAGCGGAGCAATTTTTAAATTTGCAAACCTTTTTTACTTTCATGAATATTATAATGTATGATTTTTTTTATCCCGTACACAACACACGTGTTCGATGTCTCTTTTTTTATAGGATAACAAGTTAACAACATCATGATGTGCTATGAAAAGAAAACAACGAGCAGCTCAAAAAGGGCCAACGTACAACTACAAAAAAAAATGTTCAGACCTTTTACAAGACTTTAGCTAGTTTTTTTTTATCACTACAAACCTTTTACTAGTGGTCCAAACTCCAGCCTGTGAACAGCTTTTGTTTTGTGCAACAACAAACAAAGCCCAGCCACAACAGAGACAATGAATTTGCCTACAGAATCATTTAGATGTGACATAATTATATCACATCCAAATGAGACTTAGATAGTCTCTTTTTAAAATCGTTTGGAATCTCAATCCAGGAACTATGCAAATGAAAGGGGTTCAGAAAATTAACAAAACAGGAAATAAATGAACTTAGAAAAATGAAGCATCAGAGAAAACACACACGCATAATCTGCATAATGTATTGATTTTTTTTTAGAAATGGAGGAAGACCTCCGCCCTCTGCATCTGGACGATGCATGCAACCATTTTATTAATTGTTTACACAAGATCTTACAAAGTAATACAATAGTAAGACTAAAGCCACCGTCGAGGCAACATCTGTCGCTGCTCCTATCCAATTGATGAAAGGATGCTGATAGTCTGAGCCTAATATCAAACAGACTCGCAGCTAAACCTACCATCTAAGACTTGAGGTCCCATCCAGGACGCCTGTCGGGTATGGGGAACCCACCGGTCCGGCGCACTCCTCAACCAGGACGCCTGCCAGGTATGAGGCCGCCGCAACCACCTGCCACCAATCCATCTTCAGAACTGTATTGTTGCATCTACCTTGCCTGGTCTAGCTGTCGTCGACGCCACCACGACGCCAGACCGCGTCACCCTCCTGCGCGAGTCCATCTCCGGTGCATCGGACACCGAGTCACCACAGCGTCATGCCGCTGAGATCCGCCGCCATCAATGAGTGAGATGAAGCACCGCTCCACCAAAGAATCCGTCCTCTAGTCTTTCGATCACGTGTGTACCTTCAAGAATGACGCCCCAAAGGAGGGAGAGGCACTAGAGCGCCGCCGCATCCGATCATCCGATTTAGGGTTTCCCTCGAAGGTAGCAGAGAGTGGCCTTGAACTTCTCCACGGTGATGCCTTCAAGAAGGAAAAGATGCAGATAGCGCCGCCGCCACCGCCGGCCTTAGCAATAGCCGAAAACAAGTTTTCACCCAGATCTTTCGAAGGTATCCAACTCCCGTGCACGGCCGCCGCCACCACCAGGCTAAGCACTCGCCGTCGCCGGCACTTCCACGATGCCCAAAGGCCGCGAGACTCGCTGCCACCATGCCTGGGCCGCCGGCCACCGCTGCCAACACCAACCCCACCATCCACCGGATCTGGGTAGGGATCCACCACGGAGGCGAGGAGGCGGCGCCAGTGAGGGACGCCGGGAGGGGGAGAAAGAGCCGAGGCAAGGCCAGCCCGACGCCCGACACCACCAGGCAGATGGGAATGCCCCGCGGAGTCCCCAACTGCATGCGGGAGAGAGCCGCCCCGCCGCCGCCAACGCCACACGGCCTTTGGCCGGCGACGCCCCAGGCGGCGGCGGGGGAGGGGGTTGAGGCGAAGGGGGCGACGCTAGGGTTCCTCCCGGGGGCGCCCGCAGGAGCGCCTCAGGGAGGGTTTTTTTCTTCGTATGTCCTGAATAATAAGCATATTTTTCCATGATAATTCTAGAATTATTTTCGCTCTATTGTCTCCCTTCCCATTTTAAAACCTAGTATGTTTTCCCAAAATGTAACAATGAAACTCATCAACTAATTCAGTTGTTGCTGACAAATGTTGCTTCGGGGTTATCATAACTCATATGAGTAGAGTCACGCCACATTTTGATTTCCGGTCGTTGTTTTTCATCCTTTTTCCTTTTCTTTCATGTGCTAGCTAACTAGTCCATCGTTGGACTTCACAAAGCCACCGTGAGTAGCAGTACCATCAATACGGCGAATGTGGAGGCGCAGCCCGAACTCCGGCTCGATGATTAGCCGGAACGCCGGGGAGTGCCTGTAGTCCGGCGAGAGCGCGATGGCAAACCGCGCGAGTATAACGGCGAGGAGCGTCTTGACCTCGACGATCGCGAGGTTCTGACCGAGGCAGGTGCGCGCGCCGAGGCCGAACGGCATGAACGCCGCCTGCGGGTTCTTGCACGCCGCCGCCACCCCGTTCTTGAACCGGTCCGGGTCGAACCGGTCAACCGTCGGGCCCCAAGAAGCGGCGTCGTGGTGCATGGTGGATACCGGCACGAAGAGGTAGGTGCCCTTGGGCGCGAGCAGCTGGCCCAGCCGAATGTCGCGGAACGTCTCCCGCACCACGAACGACGACGGCGGGAACAGCCGCAGCGTCTCCTGCACAACCATACCCACCGTTTTCATCCTGGAGATCATGTCGAAGTCCGGGTCTGCGGCACCGGCGGCGCCGCCGCAGACGTCGAGCACCTCGGCGCGCGCGCGGTCCTGCCACTCCGGATGGGCGGCGAGCAGCATGAGGCACCAGGTGGCGGTGACCGCGGTCGTCTCGTGCCCCGCGAAGTAGATGTTCTTGCAGTTGTCCACCACGAAGTCGTCCGGCCGTGGCTGGTCGCCGCTGTTGTCGATGATGGACCCCAGGAAGTCAGGCCCCGGGGAATCCCCCATCGCTGCTCGGCGCCCCCTCGCGATCTCCAGGATCAGTGACCGGATCTCCTGCGTGAGCCTCCAGATCCTCCGGTTCTTCGCCGTCGGCAGATACCTCAGCGACGGGATGGTGAAGATGACGCTGGGCTCGGACATGAACCCGGACAGCGCCCTGAGCCGGAGGAAGATCTCCCTCCCCCTGGAGTGGTCATCTCCGAAACAGGCCCGGGAGATGACGTCGAAGGAAAAGCTCCGGATGTCGGCGTCGACGTCCACCGCCGCAACGCCACCCTTGGCGCCGTCGACGGAGTCCTCCCACGAACGCAGTAGCGGTTGCGCCGCGGCGACCATGAGCCCCACCATGCTCCTAACCTTGGCCATGTAGAACTCAGGCGCGATGACCTTGCGCTGGCGCGCCCAGCAGGCGCCGTTGGTCTTGAGGACGCCGGCTCCGAAGATGGGCTCTTGGCCCTTCTGCAGGTACGTCGGCTTGCCCATGTCCAGCGACACGCACCGGCCGATCTCCCGGATCAGCTCCGGGTCCGTCACGTACAGCGCCGGCCGCTGCCGGAGCCAGTACAGATACGTGTCCCCTGCACGACACACGACACGACACGGCAAAATTGTGAGTCTCCCTACAAGCACAAAACAAAATTGATCTGAATGCTCAAGTGCTTTGGGCCTACTGGGCCATCATTTAGTGGCCTTTTTTCGAGGTTCAGATGTTGAGCCAGGTTGTTATTTCCTGGTGGAACTATATATCGGTGTGTCTCAAAAAAGAAATTCGGTGTAATGCAAAATACATTTGCCATTAGACGTACACACCAGAAGCTTGTCTCCAAAAGAAAAAACCGTACACACCAGAAGTAGTGCACGTTCTCTTATATAGAAAGAAAAAAAAACTGTCAGCCAGTTAGCACAGGTGTTCCAATGCGAAATTTATGTGGAGGTTCATGGCTCCGCAAAATTCATAGCATGTGCAATGAAATATTGTGTAGAGGTTCATTCTATAATGGATGAGTTTTGCTCAAAGAATTACTCCACATTACATACCATGTGATATAAAATATTGTGTATTTTAGAAAAAAAAATCAGGGGAATATTGTGTACATTTGGTGAGTACATCAGTTCTTGGTCCTTTTGGAAAGTCCACAGTCAAATAAAACTCGATAAGAAAAATATATGCAAAAAAGTTGTTTTAAGTAGCGTCTTATAATTCCATCAAAAAAAGTACTCCCTCTATAAAAAAATATAAAAGCATTTATAGATCACTAAACGCTCTTATATTTATGTAAGGGAGTAGTAACGTATTATATTAGGGCGATGCTAGGCGCCGGCGCACCGGCCGAAAGTTTCGGCCGGTCCAGCCCCAGCCCTTGGATGCGAGCCCGCGTGGCCACTGGATGCAGCAAAAAAAAACGATTCGTCCTGGGCTTCTTCTACCTCGGGTTAGATCTGTAGCTCCTGCTCGGTGCCCTCGTCGCCGCGCCTCCAGTCCCCTCTGGTGGCCGTCCTCATCGCCGGTCTCTGTCCTCGTCGCCGGCTCGCGGCCCTCGCCCCCGGTCGCCGTCCTTGTTGTCGCCAGGTCACCGTCCTTGCCCCCGATTGCCGATCTCCATCCTTGTTGCCGCCCGGTCGCCGTCCTCGCCTCCGGTCGCCGTCCTCGTCGCCCCCGGTCGCCGTCTTTGCCGCTCCTGGTCGCCGGTCGCCGTCCTCGCCGTCACCGTTTTCCAGCAAATCTAATGGCCGGTTCCAGCAAAAATTCTGCGGATGTCACCGTTTGAAGCAAAAGAATCCGCCGGTTCCAGCAAAAAATGAAGCCGCTTCCAGCAGAAAAATCCAGTGCGGTTATAGCAAAAACGTGTCGCCGTCGTCGTCGCCAGTTGTAGCTCGCCGTGAAGGGTCGCAACAAAGTGAGTCGCTGGTTGTAGCAAACGATGCCGCTGGTTCCAGCAAAAATGACATCGTCGCAGGTTTCAACATTTTGGTTGAAGCTTTCTCGATCTCTTGTAGAAGCTTTTTCATCTGCGGAATGAAGCTTTTTCATCTGCGGGATGAAGCTTTTTTTAAAACGGTTGCAACTTTTGTAGTGTCTGGTTGAAGATTTTCAATCTCTGGGTTGAAACGTTTTCATCTGCGGGATGAAGCTTTTGTTAAAACGGTTGCAACTCTTCATGTGTTCCGAGTCTGGTTTGAAGCTTTTTTATTTACTAGATGTAGCGTCTTGCTGCAACAGTAGTAGATTTTTGCTACCACCGGCGATTGAATTTGCTACAACCGGTTCTAACAAAAAAATCACCGTGGGGTGTAGTCTGCCATGGCTGGGGAGGCTCGAGCGCTGCAAGGTCTGGCGAGGGGGGGCCGGGGCGGATTCCAGGGAGAGGCAGAGGGGCGGATTCTGGGAAGAGGCAGAGGGGTAGTAGTCCGGCGAGGGGCGGCCGCAGGCGCACGAGATCCGGCGAGGGGCGGCCGCAGGCGAACGAGATCCGGCGAGGGGCGGCCGCACGCGAACGACATCCGGTGAGGGGCGGCCGCACGCGGACGACAAGGCGCTCTTCTCTGGCAGCGGCGGTCGAAGGAGCGCGCTGGTCGCCTGGCCGACGCGTGGTGCCTGCCGGCGCTGGTGCCCTCCTGTACGTGCGCTGCGCGAGGAAGAGGGAGACCAGCCGAATCGTTCCGCCAGTGCCCCGGGCCCAAACGTTTCCCATTATATTATACAGAGTAGCCCGAAAAAAATGGCATATGTTTTCGAAAGGGAGGAGCCCATTGCGTGCATGTGATGTGAGGGTGCGCTTATCTTCAGAATAGTGGCAGACAACCAGCTAACTGACTCACCTCATAAAAATTCCGGTCAAAGCTACAGGTCCGTCCTCGATGCAATTACTTAATTGTCCGATCGAAGTGAAGTGTCCCGGACGTACGTGCGTAGTATCATGGCAGTGAGATTCCCCCACTCTCCCCAAAAGGCGAAGATTCTTCAATCAAAGCAGATTAGTCGGTCAGAGTAGCTTCCTAACCACCACTAGTAGCCTCAATCAAAGTAGATTAGAATCTTGACCAGGCCGGCCATTGCCATTCTAACAACACCGCGGGCGGTCGGTCAGTTGTGTTCCATCCACGATGCGCCGTACTAGCTACTCCTACTTAATTTCTTGATCACAACATCCATCTGCACGCCCTACAAGCCAGTTAGTACTTACTAGTAGTTGACTTGATTTGCAGGTTCATGCATGTGGATGGTCCACGTAAACCTCGCTCATCTTAACCGTAAACTACCACTGTTCCCTTGGCCTAGCTTGAACGTTTTGTAATTAGCCCCCGATGAGGGTTATAGGAAAGTTCACACCACACGTACGTCTTCCAAGCTAGCTATGCGCTAGCTGGTCATGCTGCATATGGAATCGACGCCTGTACGGCCGACCGATCGATGATGGAGAAGCAGCTAGCACAGCTAGGCAGCCACTTTTGGCCAGGTAGGCAGCAACCACCACGAACGTACGTCTACACCCATTGGGCATGTGCTAGATCGAGGATGCAGCCATCGAGCGCATGTGCGAGCGAGAGCCAGCCATGTATACATATACATATCGCAGCAAGCGACTTGTCAAACGAAGCAAAACAGATTTGTTTTTCACTAGATCGAAACTGCATCACGCATAGAACTGGGCATGGCTATCCGCTAGCTGCTAATTTTAGGGGAGGCATGCATCCATCTCCGTGCATGTGGAACCCTAGCATGAGAGGTTCAAGAGAAAAATCAATAATTAATGGTTGGAGTACTAGTACTAGTACAGTGTACAGGAGCATACATGCATGCATGCACGACCCTGTCTCCTCTGTTGCCATCCATTGCACGAGCCCTAGCTAGCTCTAGCTTTTGCTAGGTTGGGAAATTCCACCTAACTATAACGACCTAGCTAGTCGATGGGGAGATAGGCGCCATGTGGGCTTGACATGCTACTTTGACGTAGGGTGGGGGCGATCCGGCGGGCACTGGGCCAGCTCCTAACTGGAATTCATTATTTGAAGTAAACCTTTTTCGAATAATCATTAACATGGTTTGTTTCTCGTTGGTTCATTTTTGGTGCCGGTTTGGCCACTGAGAAATTTATCACACAACAAATTATATCTATTTTGAAATCGATAAAGGTTGGAACCGGAGGCCAGGATGTGTGCAATTGCAAAGTGATACCGGTACAAAGTACAAAATATTTATACATAACAAAGGCGTTTTTGTAAAAATGTGTGACGTTTCAACTTTTGCATTGGGAGTACTTGCTTGGTCGTATTGGGGGGAAAGTAAACGGTGAACGCGTGGGGGATTTACATTTTGGAAAGGGTGGGAGTAGAATAATTAATTGATAGTACCACTAGCCAGGTCTTATCAGGGGAAAAATAGTCTAATACGAATGGGTGGAAGATCAGATTGATTATAGTTTATGTTTGTCAAAAGCAGCATTGACTTAAATTATGGGAAGACACACAAGCTAATCAAATGGCACTAATACGAAACTGAGGGTTAAGTAGTGTTTTTCTTTACAAGAATGGTTAAGTAGTGTTGCCATATCCTGCATTATAAAATGCTCTAGTCGGTGTCTACCTGCGTTGTGTATGATCACTCAAAATGAAAATATTGCTTTTAATATTTCCATCATCAAGGAGGAATCAAGAATATTCCTATGCAGCAACTACCATGTAAGATGCAATGAAGTCTTCGCGTAGACATAAATATTGTTCCAAAGTTTCTATCAGGATGCATGAACTCAACAAAACATATAGGAAGACAATAAATAATTACTTCTCGCAAGCTGAAGCGATATCGTAAGAAAACTAGCTAGCTTTTGCTTAGGATTTTCCCTACTCTCTTGGTTTTTTGTAGGCTCCTACTCTCTTGGTTTAGGGATGAATTATAGGGACATAATACAACTGCAAAGCTCCTTACAAAATGGATAAGCATCCATCGAGAGAGCTCTCTAGCTAGCTTGATCGGTGCGCCGGACGGCTACGCACATGGCCGTTTCCGGAAAGCCTAGCTGACTACCTCAGTGTCTTAACTACCTATTCAGGGGTCAAATGCCAATCACTTAATTTAATCAGGAATAGTTTATGACAGACACAATGAGATAATTTAATCTGGGATATTTTATGACAGGCACAATTCGCTAAGCTAGGTGCATGCATGCATGGTTGGGGACTTGGGGGGCGGTCTCAGATAAGTAGTAGTACTATATATGTGTACCACCAGCTTAGCTAGAATGTGCTGGCATGTTTGCTTGACATAATTCAGGAAAGGTTCTCTTATAATTTTATATAAAAAAGGGTATTATATATGTGGATTCTTTCTTTGTATTGATTTGGCAGTTTTGACTATAACTAAATAAGCCAGTATTCTCGAATCCAAATCACCTGCACCTTTTGATGGCACATACTCCTATATGATGCACATCTGCGACATAGCCAAGAGTGTAATTGATTAAGTTGGACAGGAAATTCTAGCC